ACAAAATGGTTTATTGACAAATATATATTGCAAAATAACTATTGATTGCATTGTCAGTGGAAATCAGGCTTTTCCATGAGATGGCAAGGAAAATGTTCCAAGGACCCACACAAGGGAGATTGTGGGGTGGCAAGATTTATTAGGGTGGAAATCTGCTCCTGGGTTTCTATTTTAGGCTTCCCCTGTGTCTAATCTCCCTCTGTCCCACCGTGAAAAAAGTCCAACCACGTCTTCAGCAAAGCCAAAACAAAAGCCAGTGTCCAGAGATTCTGATTCGTATTAAAGCTTAGTCCTTTGGAGTCCACGCAGCTGCTGCAGGCTCCAGTAGCTCCTAGGTTTGCACAGCCGTGAGCTCAAGAGATGGCATGCAACCACTCAGGTAATTGCGTTACCGGGAGTCGGGAGAAGGAGAGATCAAGGGTGGGGGGCGTTTCTCTGTTCCCCTGGGTCATATTAGATTGGGTTTGGAATGGACCAGGTGCTTTTTTAAAAGAACCAATCAACTTCCCAAGCTTTAGTGGGCTTTTTGATGGGTCCGCCCCCTAGCCAACCCATTGTTCCCCAGGCTAGACCGACAGGCCTCCACAGTCAAGTGCTTCTCCCTTTTTCCTGCAGCAACCTACCACAGGAGTGGGGAAGACAGGGGTGTTAATCCCCTTGGAGCACAATGCTGTGGTCCTGTAGAGAGCGAAAAGCTGTAGCTTCCTGGTGAAGTAAACAGGCTCATGTTCTCCAGTTTGTTAAGCTCACTGTCTAATTCCCTTTGCTTCCCTTTCTTCTATTAATACCTAGTTAAGTACCTATGGTAACAATTGTAAATTACATATCTGCAGTCTTGGCCCATATAATAATTCGTAAGTGCAAAATTTAACAGAAGTTCAGTGCTCTATATCTGAAAGACCAAATCACTATTCTAAGAATGAAGAAGTCATAGAAAACAGTTATCTTTACAAGCAGTATAAGATGTATCAAGTTTAGGAAAATATTAAATCAATTGCAACCACTGAGAAATAAAGTTGTAAAAGCTAAAGAAATCCATACTTTTTACTTCTTTACACACTATTGAAATCTTGAAATTACTAATTCCATATCAAGTATTGAATTTCAGCCTTTATGTGGTCCGGAATTGTAAATACACTTGAAGAAATCACATCCTAGAATCTACCTGTGTTTAAAAACTATTCTACTGTGCTGTACACCTTGCCCCCCATAAAGTAGCAAAAAACCCAGGTAATGGGAAGGAGAGAACCTGGAGTGACCTGAAATCACTCATCTTTTTGTGTAGTTCACTTTTCTTCTGCTCCTGGATGATGTTATTCATCTTCAGTCACAGGAAATATACAAGCAGGTAAAAATTTGAGACAGCCCCTGAGATGTGGGATATTGTGCTACTGAGAACTAGAATTTAGACCTCCACTAAAGGGAGTTATGAGGCAAGGAGGGTTAGGATAGTGTGATTACTCAGTTCTGTCCTGCTGGTAGACTGATGAAATGAGAATGAACTGTACTTTTCCTGTAGCTCTAGCAAGTCACTCACCATGGGACCACAGCAAAGATGAAATAGAGAAATGTTCTAATTTCCAAGAAAAATCTCCATTTCATGCTAGCTGAGGTTTGTGACAATGTTAGGTCTCTCTGAGTCTACCACAATACCCTTAACTTGGGTAAATACCTTCATGATATCCTATAACAAATGTGTTGAATCACCCGGGTTATACTTTCTTCTCTTTTTGCTTACTGCCTCTCATACTAATACTGTCAAAACCTTTAATCAGCTAGGTTTTATGCATTTACCCTCATTTTAATGTTGTCATTACTTACAGTCTATATGGCATGTACGAAATAGTGTCAAATCAAATTATGCCTGGATCTCGCAGAAAGTAGGATGTGTCTTGGGCCTTTTGAGATTTACCTCTCAGCTTGTAAACAGTAACATTGCCTGCATCTTACAAGCTTAATTACTCAACACCAAAGCTTATTTGATACTTCTCAGTCCCTTGACTTTAACTTAAAGAATTTACTTAGCATAAACAATACAGTTTCTCCCAGGTGACAACATATTTTGAAAAGGATTTCTATAATGCACAAGGGAGAGTGGCCAACACTTTTCTACAGTCTTAGAGGCAATGGGTAAAAACTACGGAATGAGGTGTTGACCACTTCCTCTTGTGAAGATAATTGATACGGAACTGAATGACTGTCCTTTCAAAACTGCGTGGTCAACTTTCTCTGAAGTTGCTTAAAATTAAAGAATGTGTTCATTTCTCTTGCTAGTAAAAGTGACTGTGCCTCTCATATCATATTCAAAACTCTATAATTTCAATTCTGCAAACTGTAAAAACAGACCCTTCACAAAGTTGGGTAAAAAGCCACAGAGCTCAAGCCAGAATTCTCCAGACCATGTCATCTTGCAGTGATGTGGCATTTGAATGAGGCACATTCTACTAGGAAAATAATCACAATGGAATACACTCAGTTTTTTTGCTTTTATATTTTTTTAGCACGCAGTCACATATGGTCTCTGCAAATCTCCAAGCTCTTTTATTGTGAGCAAGAAATCAAACTGGGTTTTTCCTCCTTGAATTAGCTGCTCATGAGAGAAGCAAATACATTTCTTATACAATAAGAATTAAAGGTGTTATCAATATAAATTATATAATTCCTACATTCCCTATAACCCTAACTTAAATATATATCTTTTCTTTAAGTATTTTAGTAAAATAGTTGACTTCTGTGCAGAATAACTTTTTCTTTCAGCATATGTATAGCAGTTAGGTAGTGATAGAGTTATACATATTTACTAGAACAGGTGAAAAATATCTTTAAAAACAAGTGACTCGATATTACAAAATGTATAACAATTCTGGCAAGGGTTTGCTATGGAATATAGAAATACTCTACCAATCAGCTGCTTGTCTCACTGAAACTCAAGTAGACTGTAACATGGTATATTATCAAAACCCTCAAAATGCTATGAAAATCTGAGAGGTATACAATTCTACATAAAATATTTGAAGTTTTATTTGTTCATGCTTGCATTTGCAGCTTTCCAATTCATACACAAACAACACTCAGTCTCTTAGAGCCTCCAAATAATGACATGATTCACTTGTTATATGTGTGACATTTCAAAATTTCACGAAAGAGGTAGGCAGGTAAGCTTTTTATTGTTTAGTATCATTCTTAGGTTGAAAATACATCTTTAGCTCCTTGAATTTTTTTAATGCTTTCCAGAAGTAAAGAAGAACTATTACTCCACTCAAAGTTTATATTTCTTGGGTGAAATTAAAAGAGGTGCTAGAAGATAAGTTGGCCTCATAACAAGGACAAGGAGGCAAGACTCACCCTTCCCCCCAACAAAATGCACTCATTCAAGTAATTTTTTCAACTTGAACGTGTAGGAACAGAAATCATAAAAGTAATGTATTTGTTAGTGTCTGTAACATAGTATTTGTTGGGCAGAGATGCAAAATTAAGAATGCAGAATGAAACTCATCTATGTATTCTTTGGCTGCTATGCATTTAATCTTATTTTCATATTTCATCCTCACAATAATTTTCTTCTAGTGCCTTGAATGCTAATATTTTTCAGGGGGGGAGAAAACTAGACACCAGTTAAGATTAAAAGACTCAATCAGAGAGAGGTTAATATTTAAAGGAATTTGGGGTTTTTTTCTATTTTAGTGTTTTACTGCATGATAGCAAGTAAAGTTTAAGCACATGGGAATTAATTTCAAGACAATAGAAATTGTCACTTGGAAAACAGAGTATTCAAATATTTGTCATTGTTCCATTATCTAGCAAAGTGTTCCTAAATTTTTTTATATTCTGTGCCTCCCATGTCTGCAACGTGAGCAAAATACCAGGCAGTGACAGAAGCTGGCTTGGGGAAATTGTGAGATACAGATGAATTAATGTTTTTTGACTGAATAGTTATACATTGTGCTAAGCCTGCTCAAATGCATTAGCTCAATCTATGTTCTATATAGCTCTGTAGAGTCGAAGTTATTGCTTTATTTTACAGCCTTGTTAAGTAACTGGCCTAAGTTACTTTCATGTTGTAGGGCTGGGACTTGAATCCAAAAATGCCAGAAAATAAAAACCATGATTTTGCCTTTACAGTATCTTCCTCTAGGTAATCAAGGGGAGGTGCTGTCAGAAAGAGTATTATAAAGATATATGACAGTATAGAAACATCTTTTTTTAATTTTAAAATTATTTTTTTCAGTGCCATTTAATCTTTTTAAATTTTTATTGAATATTGAAATGATATTGGTTAATAAAGTCTTGTGGGTTTCTAGTGTATAATTCTATAATACATCATCTGTATATTGCATTGTGTGTTCACCACCCTGAGTCAAAATAAATTAACAAATAAAATAGAAACAGACTTGTAGATACAGAAAACAGACTGACAAGTGTTGGAGGGGAGGGAGGTTGGGGAACCAGATGAAAAAGGTGAAGGAATTAAGCAAAGAAAAAAAGAGTCACAGATGCAGACAGTAGTACGGTGATTACCAGCAGGAAAGGGGGCAGGGAGAAGCAGAAGGAGGTAAAGAGGGATTAATGGTGATGCTGTGGGGCATTATCTTTTGAAGAAAAGCAGAAAAGGACTGGGGTTGATTGTTGAGCTGCAATATCGCACAGTCACTTATAAGTACTATTTCTAAAATTCTTTGTTCATATTTTAAGAAGTCAAAATATGCTGTTAAGATAAGTATTTGTTATAGGATAAAGAAGCCTGAAAGAAGAAAAAGTGTGTTATGAATTGAAATGAGAAAGTGCAGTTCTCTTATTGATTCTTCACTTTTGTAATCTCATTAGCTATCAGATGAAACTTGATGACTGCCAACAAATAAACAACATTTCTCCCCTTCTGGGCTGTTAAACTGCCCAAAGCCACCAAATACAGATTAGTCTGCAGTGTGCTTATTTTTCCTGGCGAGGAGGTTAAAAAATCAGCTTTAGATACAAGAATTCTTTTTCTCTTTTTCCTTCAGGCTGCTAAAGGATGCACAGAATGAAGCTTATTTTAAAAGCTGGTATCAGAAGCTGTTGGCTGCTCTCCAATTCTGTGCAGGGAAAGCCTTGAGTGATGAGTTTTCCAAAGAGATGAAACTTATCAAAATTCTGGGAGACGTTGGGGAAAAAGTCAAGTTGGCTAGTGACCCTCAGAGACAGGTTTGTTGAGAAATCAATCTTCATGTAGTGAAGCATTTTGTTTTTAATCTTTGGTTCAATTAAGTTTTAATTTCATAGCTTAGAAAGCAAACTCCTTGAACGTACGTAAGTATAGGACACAAATCGATTATTTAATCAAGTTTTTTTTTTTCATTTCACTATCCTGAAGTTAATGATAATGTCTATTACCAGGACATGGCTTTTTGATCTAAGTAGCCATGTAGCATAAAGACAGCATCTGACAAAAGAGGCCAACGTAATGTAAAGGCAGTTTGATAAAAAGAGCAGATGAAGTAATTCCTCAAAATGGCTGCACAACTCAGGCACGTAGCAAAAGTACACAAGGGGACTTTTTAGGGGACCCTTGTCCAAGGTATAAATCTAGATTTAGATTTTTCTAACATCACAATAATCAAGGTCACATTTTAAAAGATTTTTGCCAAAACAAAATTAATTGAGAAATATATAGTTGTGTGGAATGTAATATTTTTACAAAAGATCCATGATAGTCAAAATATCATGCCTCTGTTATCACTGATTATAATAATGGACTTGGCTATTCCTTTTATGGATCTGAAAAAACACTTGCTCTTTTTAATTATCTGCATCATTAGTTCCCTTCAGTGGCATAGACCATTAAATAGGTTCTCTTAAGTTCAATATTTTCAATGCAGGGAGATAGTAGATATCCATTCATTGAATTTAGAACCTCATTCAATAACAATTAAGTACTTACTTTAGACGAGGAGTTAAGGATAGAAAGATGACCAAAACATGAATCTTGTCCTCAGAGAAGCTCATAGCTTCTCCCCACCCTCTGTTTAAAATCAGCAAGCATTTTCAACAAAATATGAAAATAAGTAACAGGTAAAGTTTCCCAGAATTCTTTTCCAGCCCAATATTTTTCCTCCTGAAATTCACTTGATTTGGTAGAAATAACAGAAGCTATGTAACTTCAGCTACTTAGGAGATAAACACATAGAAATTATTTTTAAATGGGAAACATATAATCCCTTGGTTGCACCGAGAAACCTTAAGGCACATAACATTATGGGCAATGAAAAAAAAATGATTCATCCTTATTACCGCAAACTCACTATTTTTAAGATAGTCAAAAAGTTGAAAGCAAATAAAATAAATTAGTTTAAAATTTATGTATAGGTTTGGTCATTATTATGTTACAAAACTCCTCATATATTTAAGATGCACACTATAGTTAAATAATTCTTATACCTTTTTGACCATTTGCATAATGTTTCAGAGTGATATTGACATTTTTCTCTCAAATAAATGTATTTATTTTACCTTGATTGGCTGATTTTGTGATGACACCTTTTCACATGGCAACAGGAAAGAAAAAAAAGAAAGAAATAGGAGAAGCATTTATAATTTTTCACAATTTAAGTTACTGGTTATTATTTTTTAATTTTTTTAAAACATGCTCATTAAACCTAACTCTATGAAATGAAAAAATTTTAATTAAATGAAGAGAGCAGAGATTTTCCTCCATAATATTCTTGAGGGAAATCCAGGTATAGATGAGACAAAGGAGGACAGAAAGGGTGCGATAGGAAAATTTCACCTCATTTCTCCACCTTGCTCTTCTGGATTCTGGGAGCAGTAGATTCTATTCTTTGTCAATGAGCCAGGATGAAGATCTAAGACACTTTTGAAGGTTAATTGAGAGTTATTAATGTGACATCCTCATTTTTAGAATTGAGCTTAAAAAGTTTTCAAAAGTAGACTAAAATGAGCTTTCTTATTTTTGAATTATTATTGTTTTCCCCTCTTTTTGTCAGGGGATACACAGTTCTAAAGGTGTTGTTTGTGGGCTCAGACCTTCCACGAGTACTAAGGGAGAGGTCTGTGGAAGGAAGTCAAGTATCAGCAATATACTCATTGACATTTAGTAAACTATTTATACATACTGCTGTTTCTGACGATTACCAATTGTCTGCAATTATAATTTTTGTTACAACTGCCCATAATATATGTAAACTTTTTCTGAAATGTATCATTACTATTAAGTGTAAATCTTGAGAGTTACAAAATAAGATTTCAGAATTATCAGAAATGAATCCTGTTAATACTTAAAGCCAGAACTGGAAGTTGGCGGGCCACGATCAAGTCTAACCCATCATGTTGTGTTTGAACAGAAGAGTGCTTTATTTTGGTTTTACTTTTAATTGAATTTAAAGTCCTTTAGAAAGGTCATGCACTAATTAATTCTCCATTTTTTCCCCAGCACTCTCTATTGTCTTTAGCCTGTTGCCTTCTCAAATGTGGCTACATAGCCTATCTGACCCTGAAGCATCCAAGTGTGCAACCCCTAAATTAAAGAGTCCTTTAATCAATACAAGAAAATTATAACTTGAAGAAATAGTCAAGTTCTTTACAGTTTATGAAAATGCTTTTTCTTATGATTTATCACAGGAGGTACTGAAGAAAGAGATTGGCAGACTACAAGAATTCTTTCAGTATGTAAATACCTGTCACCTTCCTCTGAACCCTGCCCTCTGTATAAAGGGGATTGATCATGATGTAAGTGAGTTTATTCAGTAGATAAGTTGAATATTTTTGTTCTGTATTGTTTAGTTCACTGTATGTTTTTGAAATGGCCAAAATCAATTTATAAAATCGTATTGCAATTTTATAAAGAAACAAGTAATTCAAACCGTGTGCTTTATTTGATGTACTGTGAACAGTTGGGATCATATTAGCCTCATCAGACGGTTTGTTGGTTTAGAAACTAACATCATCAGTTCAGTGAAAAAACAAAGAAAGAAAGAAAGATACTTCTCACTGAATTGATTTCACAATCTACTCAAAATGGTTGATTTGATGATTCCAAGCAGGCTGAGTTTAATTTCATGCTTATTTAGATTATGTGCATACTTGTGTCTAGTACACTAATATAGCATTGACCACAACATCTCCACTTTGATTCAATTTAAAATTGATTTATGCTCATGTGTCAGTGTGCCATATAATATATTTTGTGATTTTTACTAATGCCTGAAAACTCCTTCCTGGTGTTGTCACATTCTCAAACCCTTTCCCTTCTAAGCCTCTGTCAGCCTCCCTTCTTTGACTTAGAATCATCTTTTCTCCTTTGTTCTCCATGAGCCTTATTCTTCTTCTCAAAAGCACAAGAGTAGAGCCACAAATAGAAGGATTGATAAGTGAAATTTAAAAGGATTGATAAGAGGTTAAACTCATGTATGAACAAAAAAAAAAGTTAACTAAATTTAAAAGGCAATCGAGAAAACAAATCCTTGCCCCAACTGGTGTGGCTCAGTGGATTGAGTACAAGACTGCGAGGCAAAGGTCACTGGTTTGATTCCCAGTCAGGGCACATGCCTGGGTTGTGGGCCAGGTTCCCAGGGTAGGGGTGGGAGGTAGGCATGAGAGGTAACCATTGGTGTTTCTTTTTCCCTCTGTCTCCCTCCTTTCCCCTCTCTCTAAAAAAAATAAAAACAAATAAATAAAAATCTTTATAACAAAAGAAAACAAATCCAATAATTAGGAGAAAAAGTAAACCTTTATTAGTAAGAATATAAAAAGCTTTACTAAAAACTTAATACTATATCACCTTTATAACTTTGTTGTTGCAAAGGCACTCTACAAACTCTCCTATTGTGCTCCATTAACATATTTTGAAAAAAGAATAAGACATCAATTCTATAAATTGAGTTATGTGTCTATTTGGACTAAAATCCAAATCATCACTAATTTTGTAAAATTTTTTAATTGTTAATAAAAAAATCATGTAATTTTTTAATTGTTAGCAGTGAATCTGATTAATGCTGAAGATATATGGAAACTCAGCATTTCAAAGACACAGTATCTTAAAGTAATAAGAACAATATGGATCCCTGAGTCCAGATGTTGGCTCTTTTGTTTCTGCTTTCTTGATTTGTTGTTGGTTAAGGAGACAATTTTTTTCAATTAAAATTACATAAGAGTTTTGGATCGTGCTTTTGGGAATGTGGAGTGCTAGCACTAATGATCGGCTGCTGTGAGTATCCAGGTGAGCTGGCCAGACCTAGGGTCACAGCCCAAGGGTCACCACCGCTAGTGCTGTGATTGTCACCACACTCCCCTGCAGCAACCTGCAGCCATCAGCACTTTCCATGAGATTGGAAAGCACCCCAAGTCAAGCCACTTTTTAGCCCCATTGTCCCTGACCAGCTGTTCTAGAACAAGGCTGCTGCACCCATACATTCAACACTGAGCAGGACACGTATGGCCGGTGAGGCTCTCACTGACAGAACATTTTAGTCTGTTCTCCGGACCTGCTAACCAAAAAGAAGGTCTGAAGGCACACACATCACATCTGAAAATGCAATACATGTGGCATAGTTACCAACCAGAGCCCACATCTGCTTGGCCATGAGAGGACCCTTATCTGGAAAGAGCCGCTGTGAGTCTAATGAGTGTGGTAATATGGTCAGACAGACCTGTCAGCCTATGGTTCATCTGAGAATCCACTGAGAGAACAAGGCATATGAATGCAGAGTGTGGGGAGACATGTTATCCGTGCTCTCATCTCATTAAATACCATAGACTCCATAATTGGGAGAAACCTCATAAATATGATGAATATGTAAAAGCCTTCACTCAAAGTCCCCTACCCGTTGACTATCAGTCCATATTGGAGAAAAACCTCCTGAATGCCATGAGTGTGGAAAAATGTCACTCAGAGTAAAACACTTTTCCAATATCAGGCGCTTCACAGGTGAGAAACCTTGCAGTTGAAATGAGTGTGAGAAAGCTTTATATTCCAATGGAAACCTTCTCAACTATCAAGAGAATCCACACTGGGAAGAAGCTTATGAGTTTAGTGAACATAGTAAGACTTCCATGAGAATAAATGTCTTATTCGGTGTCCACACTGGAGAACAAACACATAAATGTAAGCAGTGTGGAGAAGCCTCCAATCAGAACTCTCGCATTGTCAACTATGAGCAAAATCATAGCAGAGAAAAACCTTTTGAATGCAGCCTGGCAAGACATTCAGTCAGGGTTAATGTCACTTTATTTCACAGGCTTCACACAAGCAAAAAGCCCTATAAATGTCGAAGATATGCACTCAAGACTCACAGTCCATTGTATATAAGAGAATTCACTCTGGTGAGAAATCCTATGAATGTACAAGTAAGAGAGGATCTTTGGTTATAGCATCAATTTTATGATACGTTAGAAAACCCATCTAAGGAGAAGCCTTATAAATTCATTGACCATGGAAAGTCATGAGTGACACTTTGCAGCTTATCTTGTATCAGATAGTTCACACTGGAAAGAAGCTCCATGAATGCAGTTAATGTGAGAGAGCTTACAGCCAGCATTGTATTTTCATCACCATCAGTGAACTACACTGGGAAGAAGTACTCAGGCATAGCTCAGTCCATTTCTTCAAGAATGGCTCTCCAAGATGGAGAGCAAAGGTCTTGAGTTAAGCTTCTTTTGTAAGAATTCTCACTTTTTTCTGTTCTTGGAACCACTAATTACAAAGGACAATTTCTTATTTCCTTTAGGATCACGAAGGGATGGATCATGTGGGCGAATGGGAAAAACTAAATGCAATCTTTCTCCACTCCTGGGAAAGTAAAAACCACACCTCTGTTTTTTCGTTTTGTTTTGTTTTTTGTTTTGTTTTTTCTTACTGACAGATTTCTTTTCTTTTTAAAAAACTATTTTAAATGCATTTTATTAACATGTACATCTCAAGAACATAGGTCAAATCTTTGTTTCTCTATTCTAGATCTTCCATCTCACCATTTATGTAAATTCATCTTCCAAAACTCTGATTCACTCTTTTATATTACTTGTTTACCAAGTTACTTTTAATTTCTACTCAAATCTCTCCTTGTTTGACTTTTTCTACCTAGAAAAACATTTCTCTTACCTGCTTGCTAAGTTGTATCTCTCACAATCTGTAAATCCCTGCTCATCACTGAAGGACTCTTCTTCAAATGTAATAAATTGCCTTGTAAATTATTTTCTACTTAATGTATATGAGTACACATTCATACAAACCTTTTGTAAGCTTTTTAAGAGTGAATATTTCTGTTAGCATATAGATAATGATTTGTGTATAATACTTGTTCAACATAAAATATTTTTGACATGACAGCACATAAAAACCAAATAGGAAACAATGAAAGCAAAATAACTTTGAGCGATGCCTTGCCTTCAGCCTCCATTTTGCCCTTTGTCTCTTCCCCAGCTTTGGGATGCCTCAAAGAGACCACCAAGAGAATGAGTGGTATTTAAAATCCACTGATCTAGACTCCTTTCCTTCCTAATAAGGACTTTCTAATTCAATATCATGACAGAGAGTCATATGTTCCCTGATTGACTTATTCTTATAGCAATAATTCATTACTCACCAAACAACCTCACCCATTTACTATAAAACTCAAATTCATTCAGTAAGCAAGGGTGTCTGTTTGCTACAGGATTAGGTGAGATTTATGTGGATAGATTAAGAAATAGATCCTTTCCTCTCAGTTTATACTGATTTCAGACATCTCAAAGATAATGATATTCAGCCTGATCCTTCAACATGTATTGATAACATATACTAAGCTGATAAACTGAAAGTATCAAGTTCTTTTCTTATTCCTTGTATTGATTGTATTCTTCACTGTCAATTTGAGCTCTTTCATAGCCTACACTCAAAAAATTATAAAACCATACAAAAATTGTAAAGCCATAAAAATAAAATCAGCAATAAGGAAAGTATACTGGAAAGTAGGTTGATGTTGTAAAGCTAAAAATAGAAATTCAAAGTATAATCAAAAGAAATAAAAAGAAAACATATGTTGTACTCATATTTGTAAAGGTAAAAAAATATTCACTAATAAAAAGGGAAAAACAGAATGTGTTAATTTTTTTGAAATACTTAATTAGTGTCAGGCTCATATATCTATTGCAAAAATGGGTAAGGTAGGGATTAGTATCCCCATTTGACAGCAGGATACAAACATTTCAGTAACTTGCCCAATGTCTCATGACTAATATGTTATAGAGTCCAAATTTGAACTCATTTAGTGCTTTCTTAACTCTGTCTATATCCATGTTTCCTTAGTATGCTGCAGAGCAGAAATAATTATAAGAAAGTAAAAATTTTAAATAACAATTTTATCTTTTAGATATTAACCAACTAGCATGAGCATAATGCTTACATACTACTTAGTTTATTTAAATCTTTGACATATTACTGCTGTTCAGGGAGGGAAAAAAATGTAGTTGAAAATTTATGACCTGCCAAAGAGCTGGCTTTGCAGTTTCCAAGTAAAGACTTTAGTTGGTAAGACTAAAATTGTTTTGTTTTTTTTTTAAATAAATAACTTTCTTTGTTCCAAAGTGTAAAAATTATTCATGTGTGTTATATTTGCTCAAATAAATTCTGCAAAGGGCCATGATTTCCAGGAAAGTGTTCTTTTTGTTTTATTTTGCTCACCATTTTTCTTTTCTCCTCTTATAGGCATGTTCATATTTCACATCTAATGCTTTGCCATTGAAGATTACTTTCATCAATGCTAATCCAATGGGCAAAAACATCAGCATCATTTTTAAGGTGCAGTACCTCCTAAAGCTTCGAATTGATTACATTGGTAGAAATATTTGATTTATTACACACACAAAAATCACTGTAGCTATTTTCCTCTGGCAGCAACACAGAAGATTCCAGTTATTTTTGATTTTGCATTTTTAAAGAATTATAGTACTTGCCAAATTATGATTGGCAATTAATCAAATATTATTGGCTTAAAGTCAGTGAACAAAACTTGAGAAAATGTTTCAAAAAACAAAATTATCCAATCACTTTTGAGTAGCCCGGAAAATGCAATGTGTGGTAAGCCCCTAGACGGAGGGTTTTCTTTTGGCCTCAATAGTAAATTAAAATCAAATTGCCTGTTACTCAAATAATGTAAATTAATTCACCATAAAATTCTTATCGGCAAGCACTTGCTTATTTTAGCAATTCAGATTGTTTTCTTTTTTTTTTCCTTTTTAAAAAATAAAACATAAATATGAGCCATATCAGTCTTTAGCATAAGTCCCATGGGAAAACAGAATAAAAGTTTATACACAGGTAGGAGATTAAAGAAGAAACTGTAACAAAAAAAAAAGTAAGGTTTTATCAGTCATCCAGCTAGTTTAATCAATTATTCAGTCAAACTAGACAACAAGGTCTCTGAGTGCTATTTTTGGTGGGTTCTGACTATTTCTTAGGGTAATGGTTAGGATACCCACACATTTCCTTTGAAATATGTAACCTTGGCAAAAATGGTCCAATGACGATGATATTTGCTGAAGAAAAGAAACAACATGGAATCTCATCTTGGCATAATTTTCTGCATGTAATTTAAAGAACATTTTGTTTTTTTAATTTTTATTGTACTTTTTCCCGTTACCATTTGGTCCCCTTGTACCCTCCCCCCTGTAGTCATCACACTGTTGTCCTTGTCCATGAGTCCTTTTTCCTTTTTGCTCACTCCCTCTACACCCCATATCCTGCTTTCCATATGAGTTGTCCCTATTTTTCTTTTTGTTCAGTTTGTTTATTAGATTCACATATGAGTGAAATCATATGGTATTTGTCTTTCTCTGACTGGCTTATTTCTCTTAGCATAATGTTCTCCAGGTCCATCCATATTGTCCAAAAGGTAAAATTTTCTTCTTTTTTATGGCTGAGTAGTATTCCATTGTGTAAACATCCAACAGCTGTTTTATCCACTCATCTACTTATGAACACTTGGGCTGCTTCCATATCTTGGCGACTGTAAATCATGCTGCAATGAACATAGGGGTGCTTATGTTCTTTTGAATTAGTGTTTTAGGTTCAAAAAAAAGAAAGCATTTTCAAAATAAAAATTCTTATTAGTTTAAAAGCATAGAACTATTCTTTCCCTTTGTACATATTCCATTTTATTCACTAGAAAACTAGATTAATGCTAGAAAACCTCCCCTTTATCATTTCCTATTTTTGTCAAAGACCATTTACTCTGAAAACTTTTCAACTGCATTCATATACGAGAAGTCAATGATTCAAAGTCTGATGAATCATATGTGTGTTATTTATCCTCATAGTCAGAAAGCTCTTGGTATTCTAACTGTAATCAATGCATAAATTTATGGCATAATAAATAATGTTTCACTTAACTCTCTCTTGGCTGAGTTTGAAATTTGGATAAACATTCATTCAGCCTCTCTTCACTAGACGTTCAGTCTAAGACATTGCACATGGATATTAAATTAAAAGATTATTATCAGGGAACAACGTTCCAAGTAGCTTCTGATCTGATGGCTGAAGCTTCTAGAATCACTTAAAGGAAAGCTCTTATTTTCTTTGATATTCTATCAGAAACACAAGGTACTATTAGTGCTAATAAAACAATTGAAACCACCGTTAAGCCAGGCTGAAAATTTATTCAAGGAAATAAATGACATATACTTTATTTGAAAAATTTTAATGGAATTCAAAGAGAAACCCAGCATCTATGATTTTGTTTTTAACAGGCTGGAGATGATCTTCGTCAGGATATGCTTGTTCTGCAGATTGTTGAAATGATGGATAATATTTGGCTACAGGAGGGCCTGGATATGCAAATGATCATTTATAGATGTCTATCCACAGGAAAAGGCCAAGGTCAGTATAGACTAAGTAGTTGGTTGACTTACGTTATTTATCTTATACATTCACTGGTAAAAATGGCACCAAATTTTCCACAGCACTCATTTTGGACTATAAATTTTAAAACCCAAAGTCACTCTTCTTTTTAAAAAATTATTTTCAAGAACAATAAGCCAAAATAATTTACATAAAGTATAATGTCTTTTTAGGTATTAAGTAGAACCTTGACAACCCAAATGTTAACTGTGAAATTCTTTTATGTCTTTAAGAGTTAGTTAATTAATAGCAAACTCCTATTTTTTCTTTTTTCAAGACAATAGAAAAGTCAACTGATTCAAAACAGCACAATTATCGCCTATTGACACGAAATTTTCAATGTTACAAATGCTTCAGAGTTCTAAAAATTCTAAATACATTACAGATCTGCACTTAATTTCAAAAAAACTTTTGGGTAAAGTAGCAATAATACCCATGGTCAAGGTGACTGTGCATACAAACTTTGAGCACACTTCAGCATTTCTTTTCCTTTATAAAACCTAAGACATTATAATGGAAATGTACCTACATTTTTACATATTACCAATGAAAATAAGGTCATTGTCTACCCAAATTATTACCAAAACATCAGAGGTAAAAGTTGTATTTAATTACAACTTTTGTTGTAATCATGCGAAATTAAAGAAGTAATTAAAATCTTTTTACATGTGGTCATTGCCACTTAGAATTTCATTAAAGTAATTGGTATAAATTATAACAGATACTTCTACATAAACAAAAAGATTTTTAAAAATCATAGAAATAGAAAAGGGAACTAGAACCATGTAGTCCTTTTCTTTCTGTTCTTTCAGGCAGAGCTACGATTTAAACCCATCATCACGAAAGAAAACCTGCCCCTCCAGTTCCTGATATCCCACCAATAGGCTCAGCACCCCAGCCAACTGTGATTTGAGGTTTAGAAGCTAAGCATGGAAGCACCTCCTAGTTAGCTTAACTTGCAACTGGAACTTCAGTATGACTCTATTGTGATACTACTCAATTATTTTGATTCCTATAATAGGCCTTTTGCTTCCATGCCACATGTCCCACTCCTGAATCCTTTCTAAAGCTCTAGTTCCTACAAGTCTTTTATCATTGTTACTTTGAAACTATTATTCCTTGAGTTTTACTCTCTTTTTCTCATGTGACCTAATTCTTTCATAGCCTCATATGTTGAAAGTGTAAGAATAAAACTAGATGAGCCAAGCTGAGCTTTACGATGTCACATGGATCACCTTTTCTTCAGAAATTGAGTACATACATCACTGACCCCAATGGAATTACTTAGTTCCATCTACTCATTTCTCAGTTTATAATGACAGAAAGTAACTGAAGCTAAATCTTTTGAAGTTAATAAAATGATTCAGCAAAAGATGGCTGTAGACTGGCCCAAAGTTGCAGAAGTCATAAATCAAGCAGGTTTTTCTTCCCTGATCTACTAACAATCTTCTGTAGTTATAAAATTTCAGATGGCATTATACTAGCAAATTATTTCTTCAAGAAAAATAGAGATCATTAAAGCAAATGTCATTTTTAGGTTGCGTTTTTAATCAGGTTCCAAAGCTTAATGAATATCTTACTGTTCTCACACAATGTCACAAAGAAAGGTAAGGAATACTAAAATGCGCTAAACAGAGTTGCGGCCCTGAAGGAGAATGAATATACTCCAGGCCAGAAGTTTACATGACTTTCGCAACATTATTTTTTATTAAAATTCTCATGACTAATCTGTACATAATGTCCCAGGAGCATTGGAAGAGACTATCAGGGCAAATAAAAATTATTCATAATTTATTTTATTTCTGCTTCTCCAAATTTCATTGGCATAAAAGTGACTTAGGGGAACTGGAGGAGCAGACATAACCAGGCCTCGGCCAGGACACAAAGTCAGGTTCCCCACTGTGGGTGGGGGTGGGTGCTCAGGCCCTCCTGACGGAAGAAGCTCCTGTGATGTTTCTTATGCACCCTTTTTTGAAATCTGCTGCCTTTTATGACACCACCTTGAAAAGTTTGTTCCTAAAAACCTTGCAACTTAAATTACGACCCATGGACCAGCAGCACTGACGTTACCTGTGGACTTTTTAGAAATGCAGAATCTCAGGCCCTGCCCCTTTCCTGCTGAATCAAGACCTACATTTTCACAAGATTCCCAAGTGATATTTATGTGCATTAAAATTTGAGAAACGCTGCATTAAAGAACTATAAGAATGGAACCACACATATTACTCAATTCACACAGAATTATGTTAGAAGTATTTAAAGGGTGTATGATACATGCTGGATTAAAATGTATAAAATGTAATTTATGGTTTTAATTAATAGGCAGAATTTAGCCATCATGATTGTTACAAATTAGGTACAAGGTTTTCTCAGTAGTCAGCAATGCAAGGTTTATGATAAATGACTTGGGATTTAGCAAAGATTAACTTTCTGAAGACAAATGTGGTCTGAAAAGTAACTGATATTGCTATAGCGTAGTATCCAAAGGGTGCAATGATCTAAGCCCTAATTTGGGGCATGGTGAGATGCGAGGCTGCAGTGACACTCCTGGGGACCACAGAGAGGTGATTTTTCTGAAGGAAATGTTACATGGAGGAATTGGAAAAATGAGAAGAGAAATTTTCAGGATTAGAAAGAAGAATCACCTCTTTCTAGAGTAATTCCGATATTACTAAATGTAATGCTTTGTATTTGCTATCTCACTTGCTGCACATGAAAAAACCTACACAAGCGCTGAATACTGGTGAAGGAAGAGAGAGAGGTGCTACGATATTAAGGATGTCCCCAGGGTCCAGGATTTATCTCTGGGGTGTTGGTTCTCTTTCTTTTTCTTTCTTTTTTTTTTTTTCATACAGGTCTTATAGGTTATATCTGCAACATTCAATTCCCACTCCTCATGTGTTTGTTTCTCTTTTAAAATATATAATGTTTATTATATTTTTTCCATTACCACTTAGTTTCCTTATATCACTCTCCCCCCGCAATCACCACCCTGTTGTCTATGTCCCTGAGTCCTTTTTTTTTTTTTTTTTTGCTCAATCTGGCAATGTAGATGCCTAATAGTCACAACTGGGCTATTGGATATTAAAAAGAGATTAAAGCCGCAACCAGCTGCCACTCACCAAATCCAGCACAGAGAGGTGTTTTGTTAACCATCTCTGTGATCTACCTGTTCATTGTTGTTTATTTGAATGAAATAGTCAATTTTAAAAACTCAACCATCTCTCTTTTCATGTAATTACATATGTTCCTCATCCCTTTGGGGATTTGAGTTTTCAATTCGCAGTCATCAAGACGGTAGAAATGAGAAGTTCTACACTTTAATTTCATTTAAGACTTTATTTACAGAACTATGCATTACAGGTTGTTTTGTGGACATTAGTCCTGCGAGAGGACTAAAATACTGGGTTTAAACTATTGTTCTGAACAGAACAAAAATCAGCGGGTTTGAAAATAATTACATTTCAATAATCTTATGAACACAATGAAAAGAAGCCTTGATGAATACATGGCCAGTGGGCAAAGGTCCTGTTGAAGTTCAATGAATATATGCTCCCTTTAAAAAAAGTTATTATCATAGTTTCTTTTTAATGTTGACCGAAAAAGAAGGGGCAGGTCACTCTCCACATGTTTACTGCAGAGTTACTGTGTTCACTCCTAGGAAATGAACATTTAACAGTGAAACTTTTACTAACCTGAAAAATGATTTTTATAATATATTTTAACTATTTTTTATGGAGATTGCGTTTGGTTTGCTTACCAAACTTGTCATACGAGTTTGAAGGTAAGGTCCTCCCTTAAACTGTGAATGGATGCACAAACCATGTGTTAATTAGCCCACTGCCCTAATGACTCAGTGGGGTCTCTGGGAGACACCTAAATTGGCTCTCTACTCTAGTTCTATTAAAAAATATTAAAGCTGTTTCTGACATATCTGATCCAAACACAACAAATAGCCTCACTGCTCCCCGGGATTTAGGAAAAGTTAGAAGAAAGACTAGAGGTAAGTCTCCTTCAGAGAAGATTTGGAAAAGAAAAGGATAATCCTAACAGTGCTGACAACTATTGTTACCTAGATAAAGATGTGTTTCCTTAGTATCCCTCATCCTGTGAAGAAAACATTATTTCTATAATCTCTCTTTTATCAACCAGGATTGGTACAGATGGTGCCTGATGCTGTAACCCTAGCAAAGATCCATCGCTCCTCTGGGCTGATGGGACCGCTGAAGGAAAATACGATCAGAAAGTGGTTCAGCCAGCACAACCACTTAAAGGCGGATTATGAAAAGGTTTGTCCTGCTGGAGCTAATTTTATTTAATGTACTTAAATAAGAATATGCTCTAGTCCATTCGATATTCTGATTTATGAAAAAGTTAATCCTGGAGTTCTAATTCATTCACTCACCAGCCTAGTAACAATGATCCAGTTTAAATGATATATTAACTAGATAAAAATTTCTGTGTTTGGTTTTCCTTCTCGGTGAAATTCTGGGCTATTAATAAAGACTGTCTTTGCTCAGCAGCTTCCCTTATCTCACCTAAGATGCCCCTTGAACTACTCCTTTCAAGTTACTCCCTTCTGCCAATTTGTACACAGCCTCCAATTACTGTAAATCTCATTTCTTCCTTTGCAACACATTTCTTCTGACAAGCTCTACTTTTTCATGCCTTATTGTTTCAATGTTTGCAAAATGCCTCATAGAGTTTTAACTTTTTTATATCTCTTACATTACAAAACATACCTTTTTTTTTTTAACCGCAAACATTTTTTCCCACTGTACTTCAACCTGGCCCCTGGTCTGCCGTGTACAGTTGTGCAGGTTCTGTGCTAGGGCTCCTGGCTAAGGGGAAGAGTCAGTTAGAGCCAGGCCTTGTTCCACTTGCCAAGACATGAACTGGTGCACCTGGGTCTACCCAGAGTCAGAAGCACCTTTTTGCTAATTCACACAAAGATACAATGTGGGCCAGCATTAGATTTGCTCAGAATTGTCCTGACACTGAAATTCCCTTGCTCACGGAAACCTCTCAGTCCTGGGTAAACTGGGATGATTGATCACCCTACTAACATGGGTTATGATAGAGAGACCCAAGAGTTCACTTATTCCAGACTTCTGTGAGATTGGGACATAGGCTTTGGGAGGCCAACTAACAAAGAATTAAAGGTTATCTTGAAATCTCTTTTTACCATTCCCCAAATTGTAACTTTAGTTTTGCACAGATCTCTGGGGTTATATTGTTTTAGGTGTTCCCAAAACAATATAAAAAACAAATTTACATTTGCTCTTCGCAGCCACAGTGTGAAGAATATATTTTATCTTCATAAGTGAAGAAAATCTAGACAGACAAAATAAGGGACTTTCCCAGACACTTAGGATACCTGGAACTAAGGCGTTCGGGCAGGTAGTCCAAAGGCATAGACTCCCAGTCCAGCGGTCAACCACATCATTCAAGGAGACTCATACCCATGGCCCAACCAAACCCATGGCTACATCAGGGTTATTCATGGTTGTATCATAGATGAAAATAACGCATACCCAGGAGACCATTTGAAAACAAAGAGTGCTTTTGGCAAGTCACATTCGTTCATTATGGATACATAAACCACAGTTGGCTCAGCAGTAACCTGTTTTCCCCACACATTAATTGATATATACTGTATCAAACACTTTTAGACATCAACTGGATGATGTATTTGCAGGGATAAAAATAAAATATTACAGATATCTCAATATAGCTTTTTCTGTGTTAAAAATTCAAATATTAAAAAGTTGATATTTTCCATTTCTCTGGAAATAGGAAATACTAGGCCATATTGTTCTTTCTTTTACCTTGAAAAAAATAATTCAATATTGTGTGGCTGAGACATCAAAAAAAGTACACCAGGAATCCTCCCTAGAAACTCTGAAAATTAGCTCCAACTGAATGAAAGAGATTTTTTTCTTCAATTTCAATGAAAACATTTATCTATTAGGCTAAAGAACATGTTCTGTAGTATATACAGAACCAGTTATTTACTCATACCTTTCTCTCAGCTGAAATGTAGAAGTGGTTCTTGATTATACAGTTTTGCTTTCACCATAATTTTTACCATTAGCTCTGATGTGAATGTATTTGCTTATTTTTATGTGCGTTATTTTTGTGTTTTTGTTTTTCAACTGCTTAGGCCTTGAGGAACTTTTTCTATTCCTGTGCTGGCTGGTGTGTGGTAACATTCATCCTGGGAGTCTGTGACCGTCACAATGACAATATCATGCTGACCAAGTCGGGCCACATGTTTCATATTGACTTTGGGAAAATTTTAGGTCATGCACAAACATTTGGAGGAATAAAAAGGTCAGTGCACAAATAATTTTTATTACAGCAATTAAGTAATGTCCTAGAGTGATATATAATGGCACAGAGACCAAGCAGATGACTTGCTTCCCATCTCTCAAATCCCTGAAAGTAACATAAACATGATTTTAGATCTAATGAACTAAAGGAAAGTTTTGTCAATAGAGTTAATGGAAAAATTAGGTTTCCTAAAATAATTAGTGGATTAAATTGGCCCTCTCCCACAAAATAGTAATCCTGTTCTAGTCTGAATTACCTGAAATATAATATTTTGGGTTTTTTTTTAATAAACCTTGAGTGGACAATGAGGCATAAGTTTATAGTCTCAATAAATCTGGCACATTGCCCATAGCAATCACCACTCCTGGTCTACCTATCATAAAACTAGAACAATTCCTGAACTGAATCATCCTGGAAAATCATTCTAAATATATTTAGTGAGCACCTACCAATCGAGGATCTGGGACTACAATATTAAACAAGGCATATACAAATCCTGATCTCTTTCTAGTAGAGATGACAGGCATTAAACAAGTTAACATGTAAAGAAATAATATGAGGAAATAAGGAGTTTAATGTCTTATTAAGAAACAGAAACAGAAATGGAATAGAAAGTGACTGAGGCAGGGATGTTGTTTCAAAAAGGACTGTTGCAAGAGATGACAGCTGTGTAATGAGTGGTGACTTTGTGGAGGTCCATGGGAATAGAGGAAAGCAAAACTAACAACCATTAGAATGGAAATAAGCATGCATGTTCCAATGTGAACAAGAAAGCCAGGGACTGATGGTGGGGTTGAGAGGGGCAGGCAGTAAGATGTAAAGGTGAAGAGTCTAGTGGAGGCCAGAACAGGCAGGGCATTGAGAACATGGTATGGAGATTGGCTTTTATTTTAAGTCCAGGGGCAGATGATTTATGGATTTCAGTGGTATTAAAAGTTCTCTCCTGCTGTCCAGTGAAGTACTGAGATAAGTTGGGAGGCTACTGCAATAGTTAAGGCAAGAACATAATGGTAAAAAAAAAAAAAAAAGGCGTAAAAATGGACAGATTCAGGATATGTTTTGCCATGAGCCACAGCACTTGCTAATTGATTGGGCATTGGCAGTGATTAATAAGCCTAGGGGATGGGCCCAGTGGGTTAGAAAAAAGAAAAAATGTTTTACCATGACTCCTGGATTTTTGGTCTTAGCAAAAATTATATCATTCACTGAATCAGAAAATACTGTTGGATGAATAGATTTTTGTTTTATTTTAGTTAAGCTGGAGGCTAGGAAATCAAAAGTTTAAGATGAGAAGTTCCTTGCTTTAAAAAGATGCTTCATATAAAAGTAGAGATGGGATCAGAACTCCAAAGACTAATTGCTCATTTTAGCTATAAACAACTCCTCAACAGAAGAAATAATGATGTCTCCTACAATATAATGTGATGAACTTTCTCCAGATGGCCATAATATGGTATTAAAATGCTAACATAAACTATATAATATGGATCTTTGGAAAGAACTGATTTTATGCTGGGCCGTTGCCCTTTTGTACTGCTTACATCAACATTCCAGAACATCTCCCACTACCCACCAGTGTGACTCTGTTTAGGAAATGTTCACAAACATTAGGCTCTCCTCAAGTGTCAGCCCAGCAATACCCTCATTGGGATTCCCTGCCCACATGTCCCTGAGCCATTCTTCTGAAGAGTACCTAACACTGAAGACTCTATCAATGTTTGTTCTAATCAATTATAATGTAAGCAACAAGAAAAGAGAACGTATCTCTAGGTGACAAGTATGTCTTTTGTTTAAAATTATCTAATCTCTTATTTGTGGAGATTTTTAAAGTATGTACTTTGAAAGTCAAAAATTGAACTATTAGTCCTTTAAGTATTTTTACTTTTAGACTTGATGACTGACAGACCGGATTGCACTATCAGTCAAGGTTATTTAGATTGTAAAGGATTTCATCAAGTTAATCTCAACTTCAGGTATAGTTTTAGAGATAAGAAGAGGTGTGCTGGACCAGGTCTAGAACCTATTGTGTGTATTGCTTCTCAACTCCACATTCAGTGACATCACACTGGTAGCCTGAAATCAGCCTTAGTGGATTATATACACTATGGAAATTGGCAAACATTACAAATCATGGTATTTTTTATTTTCTAAAAGAAAAAAGTGAGCTAGTTATTAAATATTTACCACCACACAATAGGACATAAATCCATTAAAAACAGATTAAAAATCATTCCAGAACTCAACAAAATAAAATTCAAAACCTGTTCTTTTCCTGTTAAAATATTTACACCAGGATGATCAAAATATTATATATCTGTCTTGTTGCATGATTTATACCTTTTTCAAATTTTATTATAATAAATCACCAATCACCTAATATAATTAATCTCAGAATTTTCATCTCAATATTAGTCATAAAAATTCCCTGTATCTATTATCATTTTGACCTTATTGAATAGTTAATTATCACTGATTTAAAGATTTTAATATTTAATTTCTAATTTATTATTATAATATTTATATTCTAAATATTCTCAATTTAAAATCATCTTTGGGAAACAAAATTCCCTCAGCAGATTAGAAGATTAATTTTTGTCTTACTCCAATCATCTTCATTTTGTGCAATATTCATAGAAATCCAACTGCTATATAGATATGAATGATCTTCTACATGCTTCAGTTACTATCTTTGTGTTCTTTGAAATTAGATGAGTCTTATTGGTTTGTTATTCACACAATTATTTATTAAGAAACAGTGTGGTTCCTTTTATTCAAGGAAGGCTTCATCTAAACTTTCTAGAAGAAAATACATTTCCAATCCCTCTTCAACTGTGAACTCCTTAAGGACGTCTTTGTATCTTAAGCACCTAGCTAGTACCTGGCACTTAGCTATGGTTTAATTTTGCTTGATTACTACAAAAATGCCATAAAATGTACTGCTTTTGACCTGAGAAAGTAAAATTTTTCTGAGAATAAAATTATTAAGAACTTAACATACTCTGTTTCATAACTGGAAATTTACCAAGGGATTTTTACCTAATGGTCACTCTATGTGTGGGAGTTTGTGGGATAAGATTCACAACCTGAGACACACCACCTCACCCCCACGAGACTGGCTACTATCAAAAAACAGGAAAGAATTATCAGCAAGGATGTGGATAAACTGGAACCTCTGTGCAATGTTAGTGGGAATATAAAATGGTACTGCTGTGGAAAAATAGTATGGATGTTCCTCAAAAATATAAAAATAGAAGTACCATATGTTCCAGCATCTTCACTTTTGGGTGTATACCCCGAAGAACTGAAAGCAGGGACTCACACAGATATTTGTACACCATGTGCTTAGCATCATTATTCACAATGACTAAAATGTAAAAGCAACCCAAGAGTCCATCAACAGATGAATGGGTAAGCAGAATGAAGTATATCCATACAAAAAAAAATGTTACTCAACCTTAAAAGAAGAAAATTCTGATACACACGATACTCAGGGATAAACCTTGAGACCATTATGATGAACAACATAAGCCATTTTACAACAAGGCAAACACTGCATGCTTCCAGTTTTATGATATTTAGAGTAGCCTGAATCATAGAGACACAAAGTAAAATGGTCGTGGCCAGGTGTTAGGAAGATAGAGTAATGGAGAGTTATTTTTCAATGAGTATAGCATTTCAGTTTTATAAAATGAAAAAAATTATGGAGATGGTTGGTAGTGATAGTTGCACAAGTTTATGAATATTGTAATAGCACTGTACTGTATACTTGAAAATGGTTAAGATGATAAATTTTATGTTACATATATTCTACCACAATGAAACAACTGAAGGAAAAAAATGGGTATACTACAAGTATCCCAAAGGCTTCACCAATCACAAAATCAATTCTAGGCAAACTACGCCTAGTATTTGAATAGTGCTTTGGGTTTTCAAAGCAATTACTCCTCAGTTGGTCTAAGGTACAATGTGCCTTTCCACATAAGCATTTCATAGCCTTGAGTCTGTATCTAGTAACTAAAGAGAGACTACAAATTTCTCCTGCACATGAACCGAGTGTAAGAACTTTATCTGGTGTTCAATTGAAGAAACAGTACCTGATCCTATGCTGGGTAAATGCAACTTTGATACATAAATTTTGATCATGTACATGGTAACTTTATGTGTGATTTAAATGTTTCAGAGGTTAATGTGGGACTATTCTTAATTTTTTACCGTGAACCTGACTTTAGAACCTAACCCTATTTAAAGTGTGATACCACAATCCGCTTTCACCCACGTGTTAGACTTTTAATAATCTTTTCTTTATATCCAGACTAACTTCTAACCCAAGCAGACACTGAAATTCCATGCAAAGCACTGCACATTTTCCTTTGAACTCAAGCTCTAGAGGGAAAACATGGAAACTTGGAGGAGCTGACCAGTCTCTTCCTGTCCTCATAAAACCTTGATCTACTATAAACTCACACCCAAAATATCAGACTTAGGAGAGCAGGACTGATGATTTTTGAGGAGGTAGCTGTTTCAACTACCTTTTTTTCTAATAAGAGATGGAATACCTGAGCCTGTAAGAAATGCGAGTCATTACCTAAAGTTATTGAGCAGTTAAAGATGAGTGACCTCCCAGAGTCTAACTTAGGACTCACGGTGCATTTATAAAAGACTTAAAAGATTATTTGTGAGGGTCTCCTCACTTAATAATTGCCAAGAGTTTGGAAATCTCAATGAATATCCAAAAGTTCTTTTGGTAATAGCACACAAACCCTATGTTCTCTTTTAAATTGCACATATGAGGTTTCCTGTGTTGTCTAATTATGCAAAGTCCTAGCCCATCCAATGGAGATTCCAAATTGCCTTCTCAATTAACTCATGGATATTAAAATAAGAGACTTGTGTTCTTTCTGTTGGACAGCAAAAAGTGTTCTCTGAAATGTAGGTCATCTGTGATATCAGGAAAAGTGTAGGCTTAACATTTTTCAAGATACTCTCTAGTCATTTATCCG